CTACTCATGGTGGCCCATTAAGACACAGCTGGCAGGACTGCTATCCAATAGCAGACAGTGACTTGCCTCTCAGAGCTCCCGGCCCCAATCTGAGGGCAAACAGCACGATAGCCTTGGCAGCACCACCAATGCAGCTGGCCATTTGCTGACTTTGCAGGAGCAGAATGCACCTCTATTCTGAGGCACCTTCGAAGGCAGGATAAGCACAGTCTATCTCCAATTTATTGACATTTCTGAACCAATTCTTTTCTGCCTACTTCAGACTTTAGTTTGTCAATTATTGCATTGTACAATGAACTCAAATTAGAGGATGTTTCATTTCAATCTGTGCTTTTATTGATTTTAAATCATGTTTTTTTCTTCACCAGTTAATAGAGGTGCAAGCAGAATATCACAGGAAGTCATTAGTGCTTTTACAGAACATATTGCCTCAAATTAAAGCACAACAAGGTAAGAATATTTTAATTTGTTTCTGTTTTTCTAGATTGTTAATTAAAGTTCTCACGTTGTTATAGTTAGACAGTTCTCACGTTGTTGTAGTGAGACCGTAAAAGCTTTGGTAAAGCTTTCAGTTCTTTTTAAAATATGGAGTAATGGAGTGAAAAATACACAAATTAGTCATATTTCTTAAAAATGTGTGAACTTATTCAAGAAGTTTCGTACATATTGATGCGCTATGTTACCTTGTAAACAAGGGCTATGTTAAATGCTGAAATACACCACTAAAGACAGGAGGAGAGATGTCTTAGATGTTTAGTGAACTTTGCTGGTCCATTTATGTTCTGATGTTCCTATTGAGTCAGTCTTAATAAAAAGTGGCCTTTCTGGTTTCAACATAAGTTAGAGCCATAGGAACAAAAATGGGTCCCTCAATCCTATTCCACCATTCAGTGAGATTATGGCTGATCTATGATCGAACTTCAGACATGCAGCTTTATCCAATATCATTTCCTGCTTTTTGGCTAATACAAATCTATCAGGCTCAGTTTCAAAATTACCAATTGATGCAGCAACAATTGTTATTTGCAGCAAATTCCAAACCTTCTACCAACCTTTGTTTGAGGAAGAGCTTCAGAATTTCACACCAGCCTCAAACTTCTTGACTGCGTTCCCTCGTCTTCAACCCCCAACCAGCAGAATAACCTCTCTCTATCTATCCAGCCTATGTCCCTTAAGAGTTTGAAACTTGTGATTAAGTCATGTCTTAACCTTCTAAATTCCGGGTAGTGCAGCCTTAATCTCTCCTTGTGGTTTAACCTTTTGAGTCCATGTATCATTCTAGTAAATCTACACTGCACAACCCCCACCCCTGTGGGTGATCTGTCTTTTCTAAAATGAGGCAATGAGAACTGCCCGTGCTAGCACTGCAAAGTAGCCTAGCCAGGGCTTTGTGTACTTGTATAAACATGAGGCTCAGCAACAATGTAGATGCCTCTGTGTATTTACTTTGGGAAGAGAATTTGGGGGAGCTCCTAAGCCCAAAATAAGTAAGTTATTTTAGCAATTCCTATATAGTCACTGCACAAGGACTTCTGCAGGGGTCCAGACGTTATCGTTGGGAGCATGGCCAGTATTTGACTATCCAGAGAGCAGAAGATCAGGGCCAATGCATTTTGTGAAGCCATCACTTGAGTTTATAACCAGCAGCCTTCTTATTATTCGTATGATCAATACGTTTACTACAGCCGTAACTTCAGTTAATATTTTCAATTGTTTAAATGAAATAAATGCAGAAAATATTACAGTGACTAATTTACATGTACTTTATGCCACATCTTTTTTTTACTCTCCCAAGTCCAGTATTTAGTTAGTTATCTAAAGTACATGTAAATTAGTCACTGTAATATTTTCTGCATTTATTTCATTTAAATAATTGAAAATATTAACTGAAGTTACGGCTGTAGTAAACGTATTGATCATACGAATAATAAGAAGGCTGCTGGTCATAAACTCAGGTGATGGCTTCACAAAATGCATTGGCCCTGATCTTCTGCTCTCTGGATAGTCAAATACTGGCCATGCTCCCAACGATAACGTCTGGACCCCTGCAGAAGTCCTTGTGCAGTGACTATATAGGAATTGCCTGGGAAGTTTAAAACTCCGGCAGGCGTCACTTTACATCTTGAAGCCTCCACAAAGTCTCCCAATCTGGGTTAGTGGTAGAACTCAGCAGAAGAGTTTGTTGGCCTCTAGATTTTTAAAGGCAAGAGAGTTTGTCAAGTAATCTTAAAGTAGTCACAACTGAGGACGTTTAGGCCTCAGAATTGTGAAAGATTCATGGCCACAGACTCCAGAAGGAATTGTGAAAATTTCTCCCCAGTCCATGGAGAAGAAACTGGAAAGGGTCAGTTTGTGGTAGGAGTATAATTTCTTTGGACTTGAGTCTCTGTAAGGGGGACATATTGGGAAACAGGTTGGAATTTTGTTTTGCAGTTTGTGCTGAGATCTTGCTAAACCGTTTTCTAAATTTATGTCAGTAGGTTCATGATTTTTTTTCTTTTGTGTAATTAACTAATGCTTATTCTGGCACGGGGTGGCTCAGTGGTTAGCATTGCTGCCTCACAGTGCCAGGGTCCCGGGTTCGATTCCAGCCTTGGGTGACTGTGTGGAGTTTGCACGTTCTGCCCGTGTCTGCATTGGTTTCCTCCCACAGACCAAAGATGTGCAGGTTGGATTGATGCTAAATTGCCTGTAGTGTCTAGGGGCGTGCAGACTGGGTAGGTTAGCCATGGGAAATGCAGGGATAGGGCACGCCTGGGTGGGATGGTCTTTGGAAGCGTGGTGTGGACTCGCTGGGCCGAATAGCCTTCTTCCCCATTAGGGATTCTAAAACAAAAGTATCTGCAGCCTCATGTGGATATGTTTCACTGACTGACCACCATGTTAAACAACTCCAAAAATTAAACTTATGGTCAACAAGGTGTCATTCTAGGATCATAACACTGACACACGGAAACATTACTTAAATGTCCCATTGTTTTTCAGTGTGTCAGTAAATGAATGTACTTACCTGAATAAGGCAGCTAACACCCAATATAAAGGGGCATGTCTTGGATTCCCCTGACAATCCTTCATTACGAAGAAGGAATCTGGAAATAGTTACACTCCATGTTTCTAAAGAGGCCCAGTTTGGAAGTACGAGCCAGAAATGCAGAGCTCAATCATATCACAGAGAGATATGCAGAGACTGACATCTCCATGGTGATTGCAACTTAACCATGAAAGAATTAATAATCTACTTTGCAACATAATTCATACTTAACCAGGGTGGAGCTAAGGCCTTCAAGAAAAGAATGAGGGGAATGAAACTAATTCTTAAAAAATAAACATGGAAACAAAAACATAAATAAAGACAAAAATTAATTGCTTTCATTAATGTAGTTATTCATCCATTTTAAAGCAATTTGGAAAAATCTCATCTGTCATCTTCTTTCAGGAGGATTGTACTGCTGACTGTCCAGGTTAATAACCATGACTGTTCTTGGAAAGAGAAAAGGAACCTACTCTGATCCAAAATAAACACTGCTATCTAAAAGTTTACTTGGTTTTGTTTTCAGTTGAAAGAAAACGTGGTGGGTCAGAGTTCCAATAGGATCAATGGCAAATTAAAGATCCCCTCTGGGAGATGTTAAGTTAGATAGACAGCTCATCCATTTACTCATTAGGATGCATCGTGCAGAGCTTTTTGTAATGTCTGGAAATATTTTCATTTTTGCTTCCTGTTAAAGAGGCTTGGATAGAAAAACCTTCTTTTGGTAAACCACTGGGAGAACACCTTACAATAAGTGGAAGGGAAATTGCGTTTCCTATTGAGGCCTGTGTGACGATGTTGCTGGAGTGCGGCATGCAGGAAGAGGTAACCTTTCTCTTTCTTTAACCTGTCAGCTCGGCTAACATCCACTCCTGCTGTTTCAGCGATAGATTGATTTTGTTTTGGAAAGCACTTGTGGCACAACACTAACTATATACTCTATTGACCCACTTTTTGGGCCTTTCCCACTTCGAAGGATTAACAGAATTATTTGAAAATAAAAATTGCATGACAGCAACACTGAATGTTTCCTGTCGTAAGAAAACTGGTCTTTGACCTGGTTATAATCATTGCTGGTCGTTTGGGACCTCCATCAGATTGAGATGGATTTTGCAGTGAAGTGATGGTGCTCACTGCTGATCTCAAGGAATTCTGTGCACAAAGTTTTAGCCGTCTCTGTGCTATGGATTTCAACTTTTCTGACATTGGTGTGAATCTGACACTGGGTCAGGCGGATGTAGTAGTGGTGGCACTGAACACATTGCGGTATTTACATATAACTGACCGTGAAGTTAAGCACCTCTTATTCTTCACCATTAATTAAAATTTTCGGGTACTGGAGGAAATGGTTATGAATTATTTAAGATAGAAGCTAAAATAGTGATAAACTTTTAAAAAAACTAAAAACGTGTGGAATTATTTTATCATAATAGAGAAATTTTGACTAGGAAGAAAGTTGAAGTGTAGGACCTCAAAGGTAGTTAGCTCAGGCTTACTACCAGCGCCACAAGCTAGTCAGAGTAGAAACAGCATGGTAATTAGGATGTACACATGGCTAAAAAGATGATGTGAAGGGGAGGGTTTCAGATTTCTGGGCCATTGAGACCAGTTCTGAGGGAGATGGCACCTGTACAAACTGGATGGGTTACACCTGGGCAGGACCGGGACAGATATCCTTGGGGCAAGAGTTGGTAGAGTGGTTGGGGAGGGTTTAAACTAGTGTAGCAGGGGGATGGGAACCAGCGGAGTAGGGTAGTAGCTGCAGAAATTGAGGGAGAGGTAGAAACCAAGGCAAACATTACAAAGAACAAGAACAGGCAAGGAAATGCTGCTGTAAGGCACAGGGGAGGTGGTCTGAATTGCATGTGTTTCAATGTGAGAAGTATAATAGGCAAGGTAGATTTCTGAAGAAGGGTCCCGCATTGAAATGTCAACTTTCCTGTTCCTCTGATGCTGTCTGGCCTGCTCTGTTCCTCCAGCTCCATTCTGTGTTGTTTCTGACTCCAGCATCTGCAGTTCTTGCTATCTCAATGTATGTGAGCTTAGAGCTTTGGTTCGTACTTGGAACTATGACATTATCGTGACTACAGATACTTGGCTGAAAGAGGGTCAGGACTAGCAGCTGAATGTCCCAGGTTTTAGATGTTTCAGGTGTGATAGAAAGGGAGGTAAAAGGGATGGGGGAGTTGCATTACTGGTAAAGGAGTATCTCACAGGGAGGATACATCAGAGGACTTGTGCTGTGAGGCAATATGGGTAGAACTCAGGAATAGGAAAGGTGAAATCACAATCCTGGGGGTATACTACAGGCCTCCCAACATCCAACAGGAGATAGAGGAGATAATATGGAGACAGATTTTGGAAAGATGTAAAAACGGCTGGGTGGTTGTGGTGGGTGATTTTAACTTCCCCTATATTGACTTTCACTCAGTACATGCTCAGGGCTTGGATGGGGCAGAATTTGTAAGGACCATTCAGGAGAGGTTCTTGACACAATATGTAAACAGTCCGACCAGGGAAGGGGTCATACTGGACCTGGTTTTGGGAAATGAGCCCAGCCAGGTGAGTGAAGTTTCAGTGGGGAGCATCTTGGGAGTAGTGACCATAATACCATGACTTTTACGATACTCATGGATAGGGATAACAGCAGTCCTAGGGTGCAGGTGTTAAATTGGGAGAAAGTGAACTACAACAATATTAGGCGGCACCTGGAGAATTTTGATTGGAGGTGGCTGTGTGAGGGTACATCTACATCGTACATGTGGGAATATTTCAAACAGCAGTTGATAAGAGTTCAGGAGTGGCACATTCCTGCGAGAATGAAGGATAGGTTTGGCAAGTCACGTGAACCTTGGATGACCAGGGACATTATGATCTTGGTCAGAGAGAAAAAGGAAGTATGCGTAAGGTCTAGGAGGATGCAAACTGATAAAGCCCTTGAAGTATATAAGGAAAGTAGGAAAAACTTAAACAAGGAATTGAAAAGCCATTAGCAAACAAGTTTAAGGAGAATCTTAAGGCCTTTTATACTTATATAAAAAGCAAGAGGGTAGCCAGGGGAAGGGTTGGCCCACCCAAGGACAAAGGAGGGAATCTATATGTGGAGGCAGAAGAGGTAGGTGAGGTCCTAGATGAATACTTTATGTCAGTATTCTCCAAAGAGAAGGAATTGTTGGAGGATGATCTCAAAGAAGGAAGCATTGGGTTTCTAAGCCGAATTGCTTTTAAAAAGGAAGAGGTATTGTCCGTCTTAAAAAGTACTAAGGTAGATGAAGGGTCTAGGCCCGAAACGTCAGCCTTCCTGCTCCTATGATGCTGCTTGGCCTGCTGTGTTCATCCAGCTCTACATCTTGTTATCTAAGGTAGATAAATCCCTGGATCCTGATGGGATCTGTCCCAGAATATTGAGGGAAGCAAAAGGACAAATTGCTGGAGCATTGACAGACATCTTTGTATCCTCTTTGGCCACAGGTGAGGTCCCAAAGGACTGGAGAGTAGCCAATGTTTTACCATTGTTTAAGAAGGGTAGCAGGGATAATCCTGGAAATTACAAGCCTGTAAGTCTCATGTCAGTGGTAGGGAAATTAATGGAAAAGCTTCTCAGGGATAAGATCTATACGCATTTAGAAGCAAATGGACTTATTAGGGATAGACGGCATGATTTTGTGCAGGGGATGTCATGCCTTATAACTTGACCGAGTTTTTTGAGGAGGTGATGCGGGAAAAGTGGTTGATGTTGTCGAAAAGGACTTCAGTAAAGCCTTTGACAAGGTCCCACATGGCAGACTGGTACAAAAGGTAAAGTCACATGGTATCAGAGGTGAGCTGGCAAAATGGATACAGAACTGGCTAAGTCATAGGAGACATAGGGTTATAGTAGAAGGATGCTTTTCAGAATGGAAGGTTGTGACTATTGGTGTTCCACAGGGATCAATGGTGGTACCTCTGTTGTTCATGCTCTACGTAAATGATTTGGAAGAAAACTGTAGCTGGTCTAATTGGTAAGTTTGTGGACGAGACAAAGATTGGCGGGGTGTGGATGGTGAGGACAATTGTCAGAGGATACAGCAGGATATAGATCAGTTGGAGGCATGGACAGAAAAATGGCAGATGGAGTTCAGTCTGGGCACATGTGAGGTGATGCATTTTGGAAGGTCAACTACAGGTGGGAATTGTACAGTGAATGGCAGAACCCTTAGGAGTATTGATATGCAGAGGAATCTGGCTGAGCAGGTCCACAGATCATTGAAGGTGGCAGCGCAGGTAGATAAGGTAGGGAAAAAGGCTTATGGCGTGCTTGCCTTCATTGGAGGGGCATTGAGTGAAAGGATAGACAAGTTATGCTGCAGCTTTATAGAACTTTGTTAGCCACACTTGGAATATTGTGCACAGTTCTGGTCACCACATTACCAGAAGGATGTGGATGCTTTGGAGGGGGTACAGAAAAGATTTACCAGGATTTTGCTTGGTATCGGGGATTTTAGCTATGAAGAAAGGTTGGATAGACTGGGTTTGTTTTCACTGGAACACAGGAGGTTGAGGTGCGTCCTGATAGAAGTTTACAAGATTGTGAATGGCATGGATAGAGTGGAAAGTATGAGGCTTTTTCCCAGGGTGGAGAGATCAATTACTAGGGGAAACAGTTTCAAGGTCTGAGGAGGGAAGTTTAAAAAAGATGTGCAAGTCAGGTTTTTCGTACAAAGGGTGGTGAGAGCCTGGAACATGTTGCCAGAGAAGGTGGTGGAAGCAGACATAGTAGCAGCATTCAAGAAGCACTCAGACGAATACATGAATTGGAAGGGAATAGAGAGATACGGATCCTGTAAGTGAAGACAGTTTTAGTATGGAAGGGCAAAATGTGGCAGCACAGGCTTAGAGGGCCGAAGGGCCTGTTCCTGTGCTGTATTGTTCTTTGTTATTGTTCTTTGATATTCCACAAATATATGATTATCTTTTCAGGTTGATGCATTATGTTAAGGATGAAATTGATATGTTGTATACATTTGGTTCAACAAGGATGAACTTTTTCAGGGGTTTTTACAATGAGACTAAAAGTGTAAGAGTGATAAGTTCCCATTAATTGCAGTTTGATGGTTCCCCCAACAGCACATCCTCTGGAGAATTGGTAGTATCACTGCCAGCAACTTTGGAATTTCCAAATATAACATATAATGCCTGTCCAACTGCTCTTCTCTCTCTTTAGGGTCTATCCTATTGTTTACTCCCTACCCCATCCCCCTCCCCTATTTTCTGCCTATAAACTGACATTTTCCCAGCCACCATCAGTTCTTGAGGAAGGGTCACCGAACCTGAAACATTAATTCTGCTTTTTCTTCACAGATGCTGCCAGACCAGCTGAGCTTTTCCAGCAACTTTGTTTTTGTCCCTGATTTACAGCATCCGCAGTTCTTTTGGTTGTTATTTGGAATTTCCATTTCATTCTGCACATGTGCAGACTTTAGAGGTTAATATCAGTTTCAGTGGAGCAACAACTGGAACAGCTGACAGTTTTGCCATTGCTTTTCCCGCAACATCCAAGACAAGAGTCTTTTTAACATAATAGAAGGAGAAATAATTGGTTTGGTGTAAATTTTTCTACATCCTTATTCTAAACCACTGGCATAAGAGTACTCAAGAAAAGGGTAGACAGAGAACTGCAGAAGGTAGTTTTTTGCCTCTTCTCCCCAGTAGAATCTTTTGACATAAGGAACTATCTGGAATTGAGGAAAATACTTTTTTTTGAAAATGGGAAGGATGTAAAATGAGGTCCTTGATATCTGTGATCGGTTCCTTATGTGACAATGGCACTCGTGAATCAAGTACTCAGCTTTCAAATTGAATCACATTGGTTCACTGTGCAACGTCAAGTCTATTCTCAAATAATACTGTCACATTGCAGACTTAGCACTCACAGACACAGAGGACACTACTGAACGTGACACTAGTTGCAGATTAAGTATTTTTTCATATAATTGAATCAATAAAATTATTCTTCCTGCACACCAGATATAATCTTTGTCTTGTAGACTTAATATAAAATAGATAATGGTTATCTGTGTATATTGCTTACATAACTGAGAGCTCACACCCTGATACTATTCTCCAACTGTGCTTATGCTTTCAGTTTGAATAAAATATAATGGCTCATGGCCAACTTGTTTCTCAAGCAATTTAACTTGACAAGAGAATCATTGCTATAAGTAGCGTTTTTGATTATCGAAAATGAAAGTAACCCTTTGTGCCTGTTTTTGAGATGGTTAGATGTTATTCTTTGCCAATGGTGCTGACCAGAGTTTCTTCCCCAGGGTCTCTTCAGAGTAGCTGCTTCTGCCTCCAAACTTAAAAAGCTGAAAGCTTCTCTTGACTGTGGTGTGCTGGACGTGCAGGAATATTCTGTTGATCCTCATGCTGTAGCAGGTATGGTGCACAGCATGAATTGATGTGATTTTGAAAGGTGTCATTGTAAAATTGCCTTAATTGATTCATATTCATTATTACACTGATAGGTTTTAAATATGTATTGGATGTTCTACAACAGCAACCAGTCCTTTTGGACAGATTCAGTCTTAATTATATTTGATTAGAGACAGAAAAACTGCAGATGCTGGAATCCAAGGTAGACAAACAGGAGGCTGGAGGAATACAGCAAGCAAGGCAGCATCTGGAGGAAAGGAGAGGTCAACGTTTCAGGAATTACCCGTCTTCAGTCCTGAAAAACGCTCCTGACCCAAAACATCAACTTTCCTGTTCCTCTGATGCTGCCTGGCCTGCTGTGTTCCTCCAGCTCCACACTGTGTTGTCTCTGACTCCAGCATCGGCAGTTCTTGCTATCTCTGAGCAATTTTAACCTCATACAAGGTTTAGCCTGATCTGTGTTACTTCAGATTGTGTTTGGGTCTTTGCAGTGGTAGAATATGCGTCCAGAAGGGAATTAAACCAATCTTTTCAAGAAAGTGTGATTTAAATTTGGGGTATAATCATTTAATAGTTCATTTTTCCATCACATTAAATTCTGTAGATACATATTGTATGTAATTCTTCCAAATGTCTTGGTTTAGCAGTTTATAATGCTAGTTTTTAAAATATAGCATGCACACTGGCAGAGTGTATATAATAGTCTTCTACTATATTTCTATAAGACAGTCTCTTAAGCTTCATTTCTGATCGTTTTAATGAATATGCAAAGTCTCAGTTTTCAATTCCCAACTCTTGCCTTAAGATTGAAAATAGAGGCAGTTAATGTTTGTTTCTCTTCACAGATGCTGCCAAACTTAATGAGTATCTCCAGTATTTTCTGCTTTTAGTTCACATTTCCAGCATCTGCACCATTTTAGTTTTGTATTGATTGTGTAAACCTTAGCTGTCTGAAGTCCAAGAGAGTTTTTATTCTCTATCCAGCCCTTAAATGGAGCACTGCCTGTCAGTGATTGGCTCAAGTCAGTAATCTATGGTAGCAGTGTTTTTCTATTACGGTCTGTGAGTTTTGATTTTGTGCGTTTGGGAAGCCAAGGCAACTTGTGGACAATTTGTTTGGCTGTGGAAAATGTGAACTTGTTCATTTACTGAATTGAATTACTGAGAAAGCAATGAGCGCAGTGGTAATTTTCCTTAAGTTGGTACGTGTAGCTCAGAGATGAAACTTAGTGGCTCCAGGGTCAGGAACCAATATTATGAGTGGGTGTAAGTGGGATTTGGGGCAGGATCCGATGTTACACCAAATCCCCATCACTTTTTGCTCCTGTCAGAAATTCCTGGAAAAAGCATCAGTGGGCAAGCTAATTGGCCCAGATATTTTGATGGCCAGGGGAGTTGTAGGAGCAACACAGACTAGATTGGGACCATATTGGATTTGCTGACATAGCTAATTCCATGGGATTGGCCCAGGCAGTCGATTCCTCTGATGAGCAGTTCCCGGGTGCCTGGAGCCCTCCGAAAAAATTCTTCGAGAATTTGCAGGGTTCCAACTCAGTTTAGCTTTATCATTAATCAGGGAAATTGCAGAATTAAAAATATACCCTCCCTCCTCTGTAACAATTAAACAGAACCCCTAACTCATCACTCACCCCTCAATGACAAACAGTCACCCCCACCCCTCCTGAAACCCCGCCACCCCTGACACCCATCCTCAGGCCTGCCAAGCCCTGCTGGAACTAACTCTCTTCTGATACTCTTCCCCACTCTTCCCTATCCTCCCCCTCAACAGTCTGGCCCTACCAGATCCTAACCCCGACATACTCTCAGCACTCATCTGCTTACCTAGCACCCTACCCATGTCATCCACCTGGCATGCTATACCCCTCACCCACCTGGCACTATACATAATTGGGAATCTACCCTCCTGACCCACATGGCACCTTACCCATGTGGGAGCCTCCTCACTTCATCCACCAGTCACCCCTCACTTGCCTCACACACTCACCTTTTCTCAGTCACTGTCAAAGAGCTTTTGGAACTTTTAACTCCTGAAACCAGTATTGGAAACATTAAAATCCTTAATAAAATCATTTAATATTGGTTACTCTGCATTCCACATCTTCTAAAAATACTAGAAGTTTACAAGTCACATTTTTTTAAGAATCTGCATGGGTTTTATATCTCAGAATATTTCTTTTAACTTGGAAAGCTCTATGTAATCCATTCAATCTTTGAAGAATTGGTCCAGGATGTTATGACAGTATTTACAGTAATCCTTTTACTGCATTAACAAGATGAAAATACACTGCTTTCCTTTATAAGGAGCTCTTAAGTCGTATCTTCGTGAGCTACCAGAACCCTTGATGACGTTTGAATTGTATGATGAATGGATACAGGCATCAAAGTAAGTATTTAATGATGAGTTCTTTCAATTGCATACAGTCTGCATTTATGATTTAAAGTCCATCCCTTTTATTACAATCCTGGATTATATTGAGCTAAGCAAAATGAAAATAAGCAACTCACACTGATAATTATGTAAAATAAGCAACTGTCTCATGTATTTTGCCCTGATGTGTTGAGTCATGTAGTATAATAATCAAAAGCTGTTATTTCTTCAGAAGCCTAGTTATGTGAAATGAATTGAGGTATTTAATTTACTTATTCAAAAAAGAAATTGAATGAGTATCCAGTTGGGAATTGGATTGAAGGTTATCCAGAAAAGTGCAGTCTGAAATAACAAACACTTGACAGGAGATGAAGGTGTTTGGGTGACTGGGATAGAAAAGGGCAGCAAGGCAGAGTTATACAGTAAGATTACTGAATTAATTATGCAGGAATTTATTTTGTGAAATTAAATGATATAATTAAGTCCATGAAAAAATAGTTTTACATTGGCCCTGTAAGGCACAGACTGTTTGATTGGCCCTTTCTCATTTCATACCTTCTTATCCAGGTTCATGTCCATATTATTCACATAACTTGTAGCATTCACAACATGACATGAAGCTCCCAAACAGAAAGTAGGGACCTTCCCACATGAGGAAAAGTATGCAACCTCATCTCTCTGGAATTTCCCCTCATGGCTCCTTTTACAGAGATGGAAGTTAAGCTGTTTGCTCATCCTCAGAAATGGCAGGTTCTTGGGGTTAGATTTTCCCACTGCGGGTGGGAAACAGAGGCCAAGGTTGTTCCCAGGTGTCAACCTCAATCCAAGAGGAAAGCAGTCACTGGGAAGCTCCGAAAATGGCCTGGAGACAGGTTTTCTGTCCAAGTAAGAACGGGGATCCAGCCAGCTTCTTTCAGCTTGAAAAGAAGCAGTGGGTTGTAAAGCCAGGTAGGTAAGCAAAAGGATGCTTCAAGCTGTCTTTCCAACTTCTTCTAAGCTTTAATTGATTTTTGCTGGCAGGTCATTTCTGTGTTGGGAGCCTACCACGGGATGGTCAATGGATACTCCTGTACTTTTCGGGGAGGGATGGCATCTTGATCTGAGCTACGAGCCCTCAGTTTGCCACCTCCAAGCATTTAAACGGGCCCGTGCCAACTGCAGGAATCAGCAGTTTTCCAGTCAGCCTTAATTAGGTGCTTCCTGATTTTGATAGACTGAATGCCAAATGCATGACAGTAGCTCTGCTGGTCTCCAATGTTACCTTGACCAAAATAGCCAGGAGGTTTGCTGCAGAAGGGGAACTGGCCCACTGATCAGTCAGGCTAATTGTACCTTTCACTGGCCTCTCGACTGTACTTCCAGCTCTTGTTCTCTATCAGTTAGCAACCAATTGCATAGTTATACAAGGAACTGCAGAAAATCACAGACAGCTTTTGTCTATGTTGCTTAATTTGATTCACTTTCCAATGGTTAGTTGAAGCATGACCTAGGCAAAAGTTCTGGGTAATAGCTTGCTTAACCAGTCGAGTGGAAACTGAAAAAGAGAGAATAAAAGGAAAAGCAAAAACACAGTGAGAGTATGAGGCTATAAATGTTGATAGAAATGGGTTCAGAGCAATGGAAATCAAAGTTGAGCTTGGAAGAAAACGATAGCTGAGATTACATGACAGTCTAAATTTAGTCACAGGTAGTTGAAGACTAGTAGATGCAAATATTATTTGAAATGGTCAAAGTTTCATTTCCAGAAAATCAAATTCTTGTGACATACATTTAAGAAATTCACATTTATGAACCGTGAATCAGAATAACAAACAAAATATTTGCAAAATGCATAAGTGTCATTCTGTGTTTAAAATAACCAGCATTCAAGATCAAGAGAAGCGGCTTCAAGCTTTATGGAATGCGTGCGAGAAACTACCCAAGGAAAATTATAACAATTTCAGGTAAACTTAAATACAGCTTCGCTTGTGTAATTGTATGTAATTAAACAGTTGCTTTCTACTTATTTTATCATTAGCATTGGTGCTGCAAAAGGAATAATTACACTGGTTGTAAGGATTACCAAAACAGTCTATAGAATGAATCTATGAACCGTGGTGTTTATTGACATTTTCAGCACACCATTGAGGAAAACTGTGGGCATCAGAGAAGTACACTGAGAAATTCTTGATCTGAATCTGCAGTCAGTTCTACATTTTTATTTTAGCACTTCACGTTTGGTAAAAGGTTAACATTTTTTACTTGATCTTCACGCCTCAATCTTAATCAGTAAAACTCTCCTGTGACACAATAGGCTGGATTTTCCGAGGAGTAGCAATCTCAGTCAGATTGCCACTCTGCTCCTGGTTTCTTGCGATAAGAAAGAGCTCCCCATATTACAGATTGCAGGAGATTCTGTTCATGGCTTTTTCAGAAATGCAGAATGTACCTTAAATCTAACAGCTCCTTGAGAGCAGAATAGCCAGCATGGAGAGGATGTCAATCCACACCTGCTAACATTGTATTCTTCACTCTGTTCTATTACCTTAATGCACTGTGTATGCTATGATCTGCCTGTATTGCACACAAAACAAAACTTTTCACTATACCTAGGTACATGTGACAATAATAAATCAAATCAAATAATAAATCAAATCAAACAATAAATCAAATCAAACTTTCTCATGGCAGAAATTGCGGAATTCTGTGATTTAAAAGTCACAGAGAGTCACTTTGTGCAAAGGTGTGAGGTTAGTGTGCCAGGTGCATAGGGAACCGGGACACAAGCTGTAAACAGTGCCAGATAAGTGATCCCCAGTCCTGACAAAGGGTTTCGGCCCAAAACATCGACTTTCCTGCTCCTCTGATTTCTAAAACAAGGCTTTAGATATTTGAAGAAAAGTTTTGAACCTATCAAGAGTTCTTTTGAAGAAGTCATGGCAAGTATTAAAAGCAGACGTGAATGTGTATTAAAAGTGGATAAGTTCTGTATAACTGTCACATTGTCAAATAATTTAAATCAGCAGATCCTTTAATGGTTTGAAATTAACATCTACCCTGCAGTCAAAAGGGTAGAACTTGTTATTTTACTGTTTATTAATAGTTTGACTGCTCCACAATCTATCATCATCACAGTGAGGGATCTCCAAGATCACAGTTTAATTGACAGCTATAAGTTTTTGTAAAAGGATTCGCTGTCTTTAATGTGAGGCGATGAATACATCAAATGATTGTTTTTATAAGTAATTAAGTACTTGATGGAATTAAATGGAGCGAAGAGTTTTTTTTAAAAATTCATTCATGGGATATAGGCATCACTGGTTGGCCATAATTTATTTACTTACTTCTCAATTAGAATGCCTTTTTAAACACAACAAGGTCTAATAGATACTTAGAATGTTATACTATTTCATCTCACCATTGTCCCTGTTGTATATCCAGGGTTGATGCTGTCTAGTTAAAACCCACAGTCCTCACCAAGCTTTTGATCACCCCTTCTACAATCCACTTCTTTGGTTCAGTGCCTGATTAATTTCCCTGAAAACAAGGTGCAGTAATGTTAAGATGATTATACAATTGCCATTTGTTGAAACCATAGTCAAAATCTCCATCATTCTATAAAATGAAGTGATTTGCAGAATACAATGTATCTTCAATCTGCAGATACTTAATCAAGTTTCTAGCCAAGCTATCAGAATATCAAGATGCCAACAAAATGACACCTGGTAACATGGCAATTGTCCTTGGACCCAACCTGCTGTGGACAGCTAATGAAGGGTAAGAGTTTGTCCTGTTATATTGTGAATTACTGTGAAACTCTATTAGCCCAATTTTGGAAAATTTATGAATTTAAATAGGTCAAATATATAAAGGAATTTAGATCCATGTAGATCTTTGGAGTGCCTTATAATTTGGAAATAGATTATGGTTCTTGGGGCCTGGCTCACAAAATCAACACACATCCTCTGATTGGTGAAAAGAGAAACGTGTTGCTGAAGCTTTCTACCTTAGCACAAATGTAAGAATGCCAAATTTCAAACAATCACACAACTTACATTACAGGAGAAAAGAACCACTTTAGGGCCTGAAGCTTGCTCAGTCTGCTGTGACTTAACCTAGAAAGGCAAATCATCAACTCAAAGATTTTAACAACAGGCTAAGTGAGCTGTCTCATGCTGCTACTATGCAGGGTTTGTGTGAGCGTTTGGCATGTTCCAGTAACAGGATACTGTCAGACCAAAAAGACATTCTGCCTACCACACAATCAAGCAATGTTGTGTATGAATTTCACTGTTGGTGCAACACCAGGCTAGGTTGTACATTGTCACAGTTGGCTGATCGGATTAAGTAGAATGTTCCTTTGTCTGTTCATAAGAGGTAAAAACAGCCTGTACTTACCCAAAACAAAATGTCTAGTGTTTGATTGGATTCCATAATTGAGCAGCACTTGCTGAATAATTCTGGGAGTGTCAATAAAAATACTAACAACCAATTTGAGATAATCAGTCACGCTTGTAATGAGGCTCATTTCTGTTTGCTGGAAGGGATATACTTGCATACATATTGACCCGTTCTCTGCAAACAAGAGGAATATATTCAAGCCTGTGACTTTTTGGAGTCACCCAGGAGCTTGGGAAGCCTGTGATCCTGTTGCTATTCCCACGGCAAAGCTTTGGAAAATCAGAGTTATCTTGCCAATCAATCAGCACGCTTTTCTCCTATGGTATAACTTGTTACAATTGTTTGAAATTTGTCCTTCTTTATTTGTCCTGAAGAACGCAAGGTAAAAAGTTTCAGTAACACTTTTTTTCAGTTATTTTCGAGATTTGTACTACCAAGCCTGTACTGTCATTGCCATGCGACATGAATCAGTTAAATTGCAGATTGACTGAATCTACAATGTGATTTTGTATAACCTGATATTTAACCACTGAAGTATTGTAAAATAATTCTTTGCAAAATGCAGACATTTTATGGATAGTTTGTTTGCTAAAATAAAGTTAACCTGGCCATTCCTTTTTTATCCATAGGTCTATGACTGAAATGATGACAACAGTCTCAATACAGATTGTTGGAATCATTGAACCCATCATTCAACATGCTGATTGGTTCTTCCCAGGAGGTAAATACTGAAATGTCTTATTGTAAACCTCTCAAGGTAGTTTTCCCCGTCGTGCAGCTTTTGACGAGTCCTGCTCCACCTAATTTCCCATGGCATTGGAGTTGGGGGGGAGGGTGCAATGGTGGGGAGGGAGGTGGTATGTTCTTCAGGCTAGGGGAGGCCCCAGTATAGCAGCAGATCAGGATGGAGTAATAGCTGTGCCCCTCCAGGCTCCTTAAAAATCAATTTAAACACGCTTTTTGGTTCCTGTCCGAGTGGAATGTGTAGGACACATGCCACACCGAGATATGTCCTGAAAATGGAAATCAGTGGCCAACCTGTGTCTTCCAGAAACAACCAGACACTATCTACCCCCACCTCACATCCAAACAATATTATTCAAATCTAGCCCTTCTTGGTGTGTTGAAAGTCTGCTCTCCCTCAGTGGTTCTTGTGAAATAATCAGAGACTTGATCAAGCTGAGGTTTCTCGGCTCAAAAGATTCATTGACAAGGACTTCAAGGCAACAAGCACTAATTTTCTATTCATGCAGGAGACGATGATTGTTGATTTCACATAAGGGTGTGTTAGCCTTGAAATCGCATTCTGATATAAAAGCAAAACATCGTAGATGCTGGAGATGCTTGGCAGTAACTGTGGGGAGAGTTATTAAGCAACTAAAATGGGATTACAATTCCCCATCACTGGCCACGTTGTTGGTTTTTTTGCCGTAGTGCCTCTTCCAGGGTCATTTTCCAGGTGGGAGGTGAAACAGCGATTTGTCCCCACGGGTAAGGATATAACTTGAGCCAGTTAAGAGACCTATTAAGGTCAGTGAAAGGATGCACCATATCATTGACATACCTAGGGCCAAAGCACTGCATTTCACTCTCCAAGTATCTTGAAACACTTGAAACTCTATGTGTGAAAAAACACTTGGAATGAAAAGAGACTTCTTGAGCAACAATAGACTTTCCCCCCTAGAAGCAGGCTTCTAGGCCCAACCAGTCCCTCCATACAACTAACTCGTTATAATCACATTTACCTTCTGCTTCCCATATACCTCAACCCCTCTCTTTCATCTACTGATCCAATCCAATCTCAATCTGGACACTAAATGTGTTTGACCAAAAGCCTTGAAGTCACTTGGGCGGCACAGTGGCTCAGTGGTTAGCACAGCTGCCTCACAGCACCAGGTACCCATGTTCAATTTTACCCTCAGGCGACTGTCTGTGTGGAGTTTGCACATTCTCCCTGTGCCTGCGTGGAGTTTCCTCACACCGTACAAAGATGTGCAGGGTGGGTGGATTGGTCATGTTAAATTGCCTATAGCGTCCAGGGATGTTTGGATTAGACATGGGAAATGCAGGGATAGGGAAATGTGTCTGGGTCAGATGCTGCTCGGAGGGGAGGTTTGGACTTGTTGGGCCGAATGGCCTGTTTAGACACTGTAGGAATTCTCTGATTCACTTCTGCAGACTCACAACCCTTGAGGTGAGGATGTTTTCCTGCCTTCTGTTCAAAATCCCTGACATTTGACTTTGTATTCTGCATTTTGTAACTGTTGGAAATTGTTTACTTCCATTTTCCCTCCCTTTATTTCATGATTTCCAATGCTTCTATTTTGGTACTCTGTAACCTGCGTTAGTGTCATGATAAGAAGAGCCAGTTTTCCATATCTTTCTGTGTAGTAGTACTTCCTCTTTCCAGGCAGCATCTTAGTGAATCAGTGTTTCACTGGTGTCATGCATTTAATATCCTTTCAATAGTAAAGAGCCCAAACTTCCAGCTTCTGTACTTCTAGCTTTCGTCTTTGAAAGAGGCAAGGCCAGAGGCCCTAGGTTTCAGTAAAAGCATAACAAAGATAGCTTAATTTATGACAAAATGTAGCTCTGAGATATAATGACAAATCCAGGCCTTGATATTGATTGGGTAGTAGAAGATGCATTTTGATCAGTCATGGAAGCAGAGAGCTAAAGTCAGCAGCCATGTGGATGCTGAGTGTTTGGGTTATATTCCCTATGCTGTGCTTAATACCCCAATTTAAATAGTGCCTAGAAAAATGCATACTGAGGCATTCATGTTTGTATGTTAATCTTTGCACACTCTAATGTCTAGGATGTTGCTGTAACCTTGATATCATGCTACTTCTAAGTACGCTAAGACTGCATACTGAATGTGAGCATTCTATTCCCAGTATCGAAAATCCCTCCATGGAATATTGAAATTTAGCAAAAGCATATTGAAATGACGACATCAAGCTGTTGGTTTTGACTACATGGGGTTCAGTACAAACTGCCCACATTTAGCTTTTGTTTGACTGTTAGTGAGTGACTTTGAAACGTGCGCTGCGTACAGTTAGTGACACGAATGGCAACTACATTTGCCACTGTCAAGTGCACTACCACATTCCTTTCTCAAATCACCACTTTCTGTTCTCTGCCAAGTGGCAGGACAGCACTTGGCTGTTACTATCCATTGCTCTGATTAACAAGAAGTAGTTAAAGGCAGTAGCCTTTTTGTTCTTGTCAGACAAGGGAATCAATGGTTCTTTGAGGTAGATGTGAATGTGGGATTTAAAAGATAAACAGATCAGACATGATTGTAATGAGTGGTGGAGCAGTCTCAAGGAGCCACAGGGTCAATGCTGCTCATATTTTATATGTTTGTATCCCTCAATATTTCAGAACTGTGCAATCTCTCACCATTTAGATAAAGGCGGTAGGAAATTTTACTGGAGATAGAAAAAATGATGGTATTCAGTGCAGGATTCAGGACATTCTCACACAAACATATAAATTAGGAGCAGAGGTAGATCACTCAGCTCCACAGGACTGCTGTTCCACCATTTAGTATTATGATGGTTGATCTGATCACCACATTCTTGTCTGTCCTGATAACCTTTAATGCCCCTATCTTAATAATAATCTATCTTTGCCTTAAATATATTCAAAGGCTCTGGTTCCACTGCCCTTTGAGACAGAGAGTTCCAAAGACTCGTGACCTTGTGAAAGAAAAAAAATTCTCATTTTTGTCTTAAAAAGGTGACCCTTTCTGTTTTAACAGTGACTCCATAGTTCTAGCTAATGGGTTGGTTAGTTTAGTTGGCTGGATGGCTGGTTTGTAAAGCCAGCAGCGTGGGCTCAATTCCGATGCCAGCTGAGGTTACCACAAAGGACTCTCCTTCTCAACCCCACCCCTCGCCTGAGATGTGGTGACCCTCAGGTTAAACCATCACTGAATGTTTCTCAATCTCTAATGAGAGAGCAGCCCTATTGTCTGGTAGGACCATGATGACTTTTAGTTCTAGATTCTTCCAAAAAAGGAAATATCCTCTCCATATCCAGCCTGGTAAGACCCCTCAGAATAGTCTTGGTTTCGATCAAGTCACCTCGTATTCTTCTAAACTCCAGCTGATTCAAGCCTAGCCTGTTGATAAGACAATCCATTCATCCCAGGTATTAATCCTGTAAACCTTCTCTGAACTGCTTCCAATACATTTATGTCCTTCGAACCAATGCTGTACACAGTGCTGCAGGTATGATCTTACCGTTGCCCATATTACGAAAGAATAACCTCCCTACTTTTGAGTTCATTTCGATTTGCAATGTACAATAACATTCTATTAGCTTTCCTAATCACTTGCTGAACTTGAGTATTGATGTTTTGAGATTTATGAATTAGGGCGACCAGCTCCAGCAGGTGAAGATGGGGCTATTGAATAATTTTAAGACAGAGGCAGATCAATTCTTGTTAAACAATGGAATCAATGATTCTTTGAGGTAGATGTAAATGTGGGATTTAACACATAAACAGATCGTATAGAGTGGTGGAGCAGTCTCAAGGAGCCACAGGCTCTGTGCTGCTTATATTTTATATGTTTGTATCCCTCAATATTTTAGAACTGTGCAATCTCTCACCATTTAGATAATATCTTTCTTTATTATTCCAAAATGAACAACTTCATATTGTCACATATTCTCTCCATTTTCCAGATTTATGCCCACTCAATTTACCTTTCTATATCCTACTGTAGGCTCCTTATGTCCTCTTCACAAACTACTTTCCTACTTATCTTTTTTAAAAAAGTTAGCAATCACCATCAGTCTCTCCGAATCATTTACAGAAGTTATAATAAGTCGTGACCCCAGCAATAATCCTCTGGCACACTGCTCATTATAACTTATCAATTAAAATGAAAATGCATTTGTAAAAACCAAAAGAACTGTGGATGCTGTAAATCAGGAACAAAAATAGAAGTTGCTGAAAAAGCTCAGCAGGTCTGGCAGCATCTGTGAAGAAGAAATCAGAGTTAACGTTTTGGGTCCAGTGACCCTTCCTCAGAAATGCATTTGTGCCTATTCTCTGTTTTCGGTTAGCTAGTCAATCTTCTACCCATGTCCATATACTATCTCCCACACCATTCCAGAGCAATCTTTAATACAGCACCTTATCAAATACCTTCTGTAAATCTAAGTACAGGGCAACCACTGATTCCCCATTATCCACATGTTACTTACTCAAATAACTCTAATAAATTGGTTAAAGATGATTTACCTTTCACAAACCATGCTGACTCTTCCTGACTACCTTGAACCTTCCTACGTCCCCTGCTATAATGTCTTTAATAATAGCTTCCACCGTCTCACCTTGAACACACCGACCTGTGGTTTCCTACTTTCTATGCCCCACACATTTTGAATAAAGGAGTTGTAGTCATTATTTCTCAATCTAGTGGAACTTTTCCAGATCTTGGAAAATTAAAATCAATGCATAAACTGTCTCACCAGCCACTTTTTTTAAGACCCAAGGATGTACTTATGAAAGCAGGAATCTATTAGCCCACAGCTCCAACAATTCACTCAGTACTACTTCCCTGGTGATTGTAATTTTATTGAGTTTCTCCCTGCCTTCCGTTTCCAGAATAACACTATGGAAACTAATGCTGTCGTAAATGAATGATTATATTAGATTGTTCCAATTTGGACAAGACTGCAGAAGTCAACAAGTAACAACTTTGCCAGCACTGCCCACATCCCAAGAATTACACAAGCAAGATTTATTTTTAAAAGTGATGATGTAAAACAAAGAGCAGTGATTACTTTGTATAAAACTTGTAAGAAAATTGTAAGAAAGGAGATCATGGGGTAGGTTTTGAAGTGAGTCTTGCTTTCAACAAAGTGGGGATTCATGGGAGAGGAACAGTGTATATAGAGAAAGTATGTTTGCAGAGGAACCATCATTACTGTATTGCAAGAACAAGAGAGGAAATTCTGTTTGAGGAAATGGAGACGTTGATGTAGTAGGAAGACAATAAAAGATGCTGTGACATGGAGTGGAAGAAAATTTGTAGATATTGGATTCTTGCAGTAATGGACTGTGAACTGTATTTCCTTTGCAAACAGATATTGAATTTAATGTCACTGGAAGCTATGGCAGCCCAGTCCACACCAACCATAATGCAAACTACAACTCCATGCCATCTCCAGACATCGATCATTCTGACCGCAAGCAGCACGACCAGGGCAGGCGACCACTCAGCGTTGCAACTGACAACATGATGCTGGAGTTTTACAAAAAGGATGGGTAGGTACTAGTTATTATCCTGCTTTCATAAGTACTTTGTACAGAGCAATTTTGTTTCATATGGATAAAACCGCGTGCTGAAGAAGATCCAAACTGGAGTGAAACGATATACATGGGGACGGTATACAAATATACTTCATAAAGATATTTTGAATTGATATTAATGCAGTTAATTTCAGCATTAGTGACTTCTCATTTTCATTTATTGGAAAAGAATTAAAATTTGCATGAATTTAATTTTCTTTTATCTACGTTGTCAGCACAATATTCAACAGGACTTTTAAAAAAAGACTTTATATATAAAACATTCAATTCTCTGCCTGAATGGCCCAAATATCAACGTAAATATCACTTTAGCCTATGCTAAAAGTATCAGTATCACAAAGTTTTTGCACTGATACAGGTTCAACAGTGTAGGTTTTACTGTGCCAGGCATCTGCACTACTATGAGTGTGTGTATTTCATACAAGTTAGAAACATGTGTGATGGGGTGTGTGTGTATTCAGTTGTGTGTTTCCTGGATAACTGATGAGAGAGATTAACTGTGCTAATAGGATCTGGTGATGGTACGTATGAAATAATTTTTACCTTTCGAGTGAGCAGGAGGAATGATGTTCCTGTTATCACTCAGAGCATTAGCAGGTAAAAGCCTTTATCTCACCAAAAGCCACGTACATTTCAGCTATTGGCCAGTTATATGGAATTATTCCCACCTGGCTGTATAACCTTCAATGAATAAAGATCTAAGTTTTGGGATAGTTTGTATACGAATCAGTTACTTTATTTCTTTGGTCCATAATTTTCAACTGCATTTCAACTGCAATACAAAGCCTTTATAAGGATGTAATCCTTCATCAGAGTGTCACCAGGTTTCAATACATTCAAAAGACAATTCACTGATGCTTGTAACTGTGGAAAAATGTATTTGTGAAGTAAATATTTAGGACGAGGGTGAGTGAACCTTGCAGTGAATGGAACTGAACAAGCTATTGATGATTTAGGCTATGGGTCTACACAAGGGGGAATGGGGAGGTTGTAAATGGTCCTGTTTGTCAAAGTAAAACTTTGATGTTCCATTTTATGCTACATCTGTCCAGTTTGGTTCACTTAGGGTTAGCTCATCAATAATTCGTATGAAAGTTGAATATTGACCCATGTCCTGAACGTTAAGTAGCAATATGGATCGGTTCTTCGGTTGGCTTGTTGGCTTTAGTCATTGAGTCACTGAGCCAGATAGACCTGGAAATTTGCCAGGGTTAATTCCTGGTCTCTGCTGGGACAGCTGGGGCAACAATAGGGGCACTCAAATGATGCCAGTGTTTTTGGGTTTGGGTGTGGGGGTGGCAGGGAAATTATTCAAGATTCCTACTCCTTTACACGTATGTGTGTGTGTGTGTGTGTGAGTGAATATGTGTGTGTGTGTGTGGGTGTATAATCATTTACTATGGACATAATTGGGCTTGTTTCTGATGGGTACCTCATCTGAATAGCCTACAAAGGATCACTTATGAGTTATGGACACTTGGCAATATGCTAGAGGTTGGCTGGTCCCAGTGGAACCATTTCCCATTAGAACTGCACCTTCCACAGTGCGGAGAAGGGAAGAGAACAACTGGTGAAAGAAAATGGTGTGCTTTGTATATTCTCACTTTCTTGTCTCAATATTTTGTTGTAAGTGTTACTGTATCAGTTATCCACGTTATAACATGTACTGCGTACATACACTAAGGCTGCCGTGTGCTATTGTGGGTAACTCCGTGATGCTCCTAATTGTGTTGTGATGTGTATTGTCCAGGCATTTCATACCAGCTTCTCCCTAATTTTCTTCATCTTTCTTTTACCTTTTGCCCACCTGGGAATGCTGCAGTTGTGTTGCTACCTCATTCTTACTGTCACATTTTTGTTCTCATTCGTGTTAACTGAATACTTTTAGCTGTAAATTCATGTCAGTTGAGTACTCTTGCCCAGACTACACATTTTACCATGTTTACAGCCCAAATTACATGAGATCACGTTCTGCATCTTGTCCAACATGGCTACTGCGGTAAGCAATTTTTTGACTTTCCACCAAAATACAGCACGTTAAAATGATCAGTGTAAAATAAGCTTTTAGTATTTTGTAAATCTTTTCATTCCAGTGCATTAATTGCCACAGTTTGTGTTTTCCTGTTTGCATATACTGAATTTGTCATTCTTACATATTTAGATAGTCCAGTTAGATTTTGCAGGTTACCATGAAGCTTATTAAATGTAGTTAAAGGAATGTTAGCTTTTGTTCGATATGTAGCTTTGTACATTTACTCCAGTTAAGCATGTAACAAAGTTTAAAAATGCTAAAGATGTTTTTCAATTTGCATTGTTGGTGTATCTTTTCAGTTTTAGAATGTCTTTACTTATTGGAAGCACTTTGGGTAATGAAAGAAAAACTGACAACATTCTTTACACCATAATTTTAACTTATTGTAATTTTGAATGCGACATCACCTCAGTTCCTTGCATCTCAGTCAGTCCTGGGTTCAAGTCCCACTCCGGGACTTATGTACATAACCTACAGTGACACTTCAGTGTAGTACTGGGAAAGCTGTCTTTGACGTGTGACATTAAACTGAATCCCTGCCTGATCTTATGACTCAATTTGAAAAGCAGGGAATTTTCCTGGTATCCTCATTCAACATTCCTTCCTTCAATGGCCACCAGAAATAGATTAGCTACTGCTTATGGAATCTTGCTATGCACATATGTCTGTGACAGTGACTTGCACTACTATAGTAAATAATTGACCTGTTCTGAGAACATGATAAGGTGATACATAATAAATTCAAGTCCTTTCCCTATTTGCGATGCCTACTAAGTTTATTTCCAGATCCCTCCCTGTACCTCTCGATAGGATAGTGAACAAGCCAGCCTGCCTCCAAGTTTGTGCCACCTTGCTCTGTGCCCAGGTTTTTTGAGCCCATGGCACTCCTTGTCAGAACACTGACTTTTGCAGCATGACATCATCCCTCTGGTTGCTGCATAACATGCTACTATAAATTTCTCCTCATTAATTTCCTAGTCATCAGGAACCAGTAATGGAAGTTTACTGTACAGCAAGTAGCCTTGGCCTAAGTATGTGTTTTATGACTCTCACTACTTGGTACAAGTATTACAGGCACTTCAGTGTGAACTTCTGTTAAAAGTTCCTGCTGCGTCAATATTTTCTTTGTCACTTGTTTTACTTAACAGGAATCTGCTACCTTTGCAATAACTGCTGTTTGATTCATTTAATCCTTTATATTATATTCTAAATAGTATTGTTCTGTTTCTGCTAATGCAGCCTTAGGAAAATCCAAAGGTACTGTATTCGATACATCTGCGTGACTGGTTATTGATAACATGAGAGGAGGATACTGAGATAGGGAGCATCACACGAGTAATAAATACAAAATGTAGAAATTACCATAATTCACATATGAAAATAGGCACCTTTTTTACATGAGATGTTTGTAGATGTATTTTAAGAATTGATATCGTATTGAAAAGCTTGGAATAAGGTGGTAAATACCTAACACTAGCAGTGCACATTTACTGAAGTAAGCAGTTGGAAAATGGCTTGTCCAAGGATTTCAGACTCACAACCATTATTTTGATGGTAGGCAGCTTTGAGGGTGTTTGTTTGGAGTATCTGTAATGTGGATGAACACAGAACTTGAATGTTATTGAGTTGGAGAGTTGTTAACTGCTTCTACAGACTTTCAGCCTCCTTTCCATTCTGTATCTAAAGCAACTGGCATGTCTGTCATTCCATTACACATTCTCCTCCAGTGATTAGATCCTGTACTTCCCAGTGAGGGGAATGTGTTGTGTTGAGTTGTTCAAGGCTGTTCTGTCACAGCACCTGATTGGCAAATTAAGACCGGCAGTACTTGTTAGCCTAAATGCCAGTCACTGCTCACCTCCTGACTAGGGAAATGATAGGTGACTTGTATGTGGTTGGATCTTAAATGAAGGGATGTGTGAAATCCTGTGGTGAGAACTACACTTGGATTGTACATGTTTTAAGGGAGGTAATTTTCTGAGTCTGAGTAACAGGAAGCTTACATGTTGCCATAACACATTTGAAAATCACAGCTACAATCACAGACAACAGGAAGGTTTCTCGGAACCAGCGTTACCTCACACTTTCTTCCCACCTGCACAGGCCTCTGAAGCCACTCCTGGAATGACACCCGTTGCCACATGCAGAGCCTTCACACAGCTTAGAGGGAACATTACTCACCAAGTTGGAAACCAGCCCCCAAAAAGTGGGAATACAGTTCTGTGGTCATTCTGGGAGTGATATAAAGTATGTTACATCTGTATAAAATGCAGCAGAGGACTCAGGGGTGCTTCGGGTGCACTTGCCCCAAGGTGCCTGCGATTGCAATTCAAAAGATCTCTTCAGTTAGTCCTACTCCTCCGCTCTTTCCCACAATCATGCAAATCTCTCCTGTACATATTGTCTCTGCTCTACGTTTAGCGAGTTATAGTTATTGTTTATGAATTAGGAGCTACGCAGGATAAATGCTGCATTAAATATGCATGACAGATGCAGTATAATGTGAATAAATATGAGGTTATCCACATATCCGCCACAAAAATAGGAAGGCAGATTATTATTTCAATGGCTGACTGTAAATTCAGAGAGGGGAGTGTTCAATGAGACCTGGATATCCTCGTGCACCAGTCACTGAAAGTAAACATGCAGGTGCAGCAGGCAGTAAGGGAGGCAAACTGTAGGTTGGCCTTCATAAAGGATTCATGCACAGTAACAAGGATGCCTTGCTGCATTTATACAGGGCATTGGTGAGGCCACACCTGGAATTCTGTGAACAGTTTTGGTCTCTTCATCTGAGGAAGGATATTCTTGTTATTGGGGGAGTGCAGCAAAGGTTTAACAAATTGATCCCTGGGATGGTAGGTCTGACCTTTGAGAAGAGATTGAGTCAGTTGGGATTGTATTCATTTGAGTTTAGAAGAAT